GTCTCTGAATCCACCCCAAAGACGAGGAGCTTCTCTTCATCCATAGAGGAGCCTTTCCAAAAGGTACGCTGTGCCAGGCGGTATGCATCCGGCTTCCACCAGAATCTTTGGAGCCAGGACGGCGTATCTCGTATCCGATTCACTGATCGGTGTCAAAGTAAAAGCTTGGTTGATATCAGAGATGGCTGCCAACCACCTCTTCTTTGCTGCGACTGACAGCGCACACCTCACGGACTCCGCGTTGGCCGCCGCGGCGTACACCTCCACTTCGTTCTTTATGAAGTTGCCACAGATAACCATTCGCGCTTTCCTCTTGAACCATGCCGGCACGAACTCCTCCTCAGGGCGCACCTCATTTCCTTCAACAGGGTCAGGAGGTTTAACAGTACGCACTGTCTTTCCCGGCACAATCACGAGCTCGCCCTTTTCCTGGAGGTCCTTTGCCTTAGCAAGCGGTATCCTTTTCAAGGTTCCATTGCCCTCCAGATTGCCAATCTCTTTCTCCAGACTGGGGATCCACTTAACTAAATGTCTCTTCACCTCCGGCAAGGCCACGGTGTGGGTCACAGTTAATGGCCCCTTCAAGTTCTCAAGCAATTCCTCCACGTTCTCCGTGTAGAGGTCCTCGCTGGTTGCTTTCTTTAAGGCCACATCCGGAACCACCATGAGCTTAGAGATCATAGTCTCCCGAGCAGCCCGCTCATCTTGCCTTAGGCGATTGCGATAAAACTCAACCACATCCTCGAGCTTCTCCAACATCTCTGCATGTCGATGATCGAACTCCAGGCCGTCCTGCTCACGCTTGGTTTCGATGTCAAGCTCTTCCTTCATGAGCTCGGTCAGCCATTCCAACCTCCGCCTGGTTCCTGCCTTTTCGTCCGCCTCCAGGGGAAATACTGGTTCTTCCACCAAACGAACAGGAACTGATTGGTGATCCGGAACATACTGCATCTCCCACGCCAGCTTCATGTTGACTCGCCCTCCAGGAACAACGATGCAATCTTCCCGCTGTCCACCAGCGGCTGGACTTGCCTGATCTCTGATAGTAGATGAAGAGGACGGTCGTTGTTGCTGACTTGGTTGTTGTCCTGGTTGTTGTCCTGGATCTAAAAAGTATGCATTCAGTTCAGGGTCTGGTAAAGGTACTCGAGGCCTGGGTTGACTTTCAAATGTGCTTATAGTTCGCAACGAACTTGCCGGTCCCGAACTGGATGAAGTGAACCCCTGCTGAGCAAGATACGCCATCTGCTGGATCCATTCACCACGATCTTCTGGGCTCCCTGGATTGACCAACGTGCTATCACCTTGATTCGCCTCAGTCACTGCGGTTCCAGCTATATTGAACCCTGACCCTGCTGTGTCAGGATTTGGCCCTGCTGTGTCGGGATTTGGCCCTGCTGTGTCGGGATTTGGCCCTGCTGTGTCGGGATTTGGCCCTGCTGTGTCGGGATTTGGCCCTGCTGTGTTGGGATTTGGCCCTGCTGTGTGGGGATTTGGCCCTGCTGTGTTGGGATTTGGCTCTGCTGTGTGGGGATTTGGCCCTGCTTCGCCGCTGGATCCACTCACGACATCCACGGAGAAGATTTCGCCATCGTCGCATTCAACTCTAACTGTAGCGACTTTAACATCCTCCCCCGGAACCACAACACCAATCGTTTCCAGCTGTTTTCGAGCTTCCGAACCCAACTTCGCCCAACTGCCAATGGTGTGCCCCACCACCAACACTCTATCTGGACCTTCTCCCAAAATAGGTTGATGCCATCTTTGAGGGATAACCTTCACAGGCCCTTCCACACTCATTTTCTGCCCGGGCACCTCCTTCCCGTCCACCTCCCGAAACTCAAAGTTGCCATAGAACTCATCCCCGAACTTCATTTCCTGCCATATTGCGCTTCCTTTCCCAACTTTTAGGGGGGAAACCAGATTGAAAGACCCCTTGAAGTTAAAGATGTCCCGGTGTAACGGCATGACCGCGTTCTTGGTCAGGACGACGGAGGTGAAGACCTCGCCAGGGAAGTCTATCTGCACCAGTTTAGCGGCCTTTGCCGCCACCTCTTTGAACTCCATGGCGGCTTTCGTCACACCAACCACCCCTCCATGTTGGAAAGCTCCGAAGGTGACGTAGCATTGCCCCGCATCCTGATTTCCTTGCAGCTGGGGTCTCTTGGCCTTTGCTTCTTTGGATTCCCAAACCTCGCTGTTCAGGATCTCCTCGACCAACTTCTTCCTTTCTCCAGAAGGTTGTCCTGCAGCTCGTCGAAGTACCGGACGATCCAACGGTTTCTTGCCTGTTATTCGAGTTGTCGGCTGAGGAGGTTCTTCGATGAGCTCCTCCTCCTGGTTGGTCACGCGGGTCTTTCCGGTGACCCTCCTTGTAGGCGGCGGGTCCACTGCCTCAAAGTCTCCAGTGTCCACACCCTCGTTCTCGTCCAGAACATTCACGGCCTCCCTCATATGCAAAGTGCGGAACCAGGTGCCGTCCTCGAGTTTGATGACAAAACCTTCACGCACATCTTCGGCGGGACCAAGAAAGACACCTTCCACCCACCTTTTGTCGAACGGGCCCAGGTGCTCCTCCTTGGATCGGACCCAAACTTTGGACCCAAACCTTATTCCCGGAGCTTTCTGCCCCATGACCCTTTTGTTGTGAAGAAGGCAGGCGTGCTTCATAGCGCATGGCCAGTACGACTTACCCAACTGCGCATCTTGTAGAAGGGCTCTTGCTCGACATTTCAACCACTTAACATGGTTCTCGGCAACCGCGTTCTGAGAGGGCGCTAAACCTTCAGTGTAGGTCTGGTAAATGTCTCGCTCCCGACACCATTTCCTCAGCTGCTTCGTCCGGAATTCTTTGCACGGTCACTGTGGATCCTGGCCAAAGGATAACCGGCAGCTCGCAGCGAAATGTAGAGGTCTTGAACCGCCTCAAGGATATCTTTTCCTTTATGATTCTCCAAGGGGACCACAAAACGAAGAGTTTGGAACTCCATTGGTTTCTTGAGATCTCCAGCAATGCGAAGCCACTCCTCCTCCTGAGCATCAGCGCCTGGATCTTCGGCCAAGTCACCTGGGCCTGGCTCATCCTCATCCTCGCCCTGCTCCAAGAAGTCCAAGTCTTCCTCCAAGTCGGGCACAGGAGCATCTTCGGGGACCCCGTGGTCTTGGGAAACACATACGTTGCTGCCAAAGCGAACCGGTATTTGCCCCCCTTTCTCTCGTCTTCTCCTACATCTCGGAAAAGGCCCGCAACGTCCAGACTCATCACATAAGCGTCCCTGTGGAGGACTTTCCGCGCCCGGTCTACCCGTTCCCGAAGCTGAGAGACAAACCGCACAGTCCCTTCGATAAGGCCAATGTCCAGCTTCCACATGAGCCTTCCACTCTGCCAGCTCCTTCTCGGACATGACCTTATTCACTGCCACAGGGAGCAGCGCTGCTTGCTGCTTTGCCCAAACGTCCAAGGCTCTCGCGATTTCCGGTTGTCTCCTTCAACTAGGCCCTGTTCATGCTGGCTCAACCCTTCCAGCCCCCACAAACTTTCGGCTGATCTCACTGGCTTGGGGGCATTTGGTTGACCTGGAACTTCGCGATGCCGAAGAAGGGTAAAGGTACGGCAGGGCGGTCCTCCAATGACCGCTCTGATATGAGACCTCCACATTCTTCAAGTCCATACCCGCAATCAGGTCAATCTCCAAGATCTCGCCCTTCACCGCCTTGAGCGGGTCATCGGCCACTCCTTTTCCGGAGAACAAATGAACCACCCATTCCCTACTTCGCCACAGCTGTCTTCTTTTGCACGATTCAAAGGCAGCCGCTTCAACAGCAACCACGCCTCTTTGTCCGTCTGTGGGAATGCCTCAAGGATCTTCACCTTCTGCTCGGCAGGGATCTCCTTCATGAAGGGTGCCGAGAACACAGCCCGGATGCCATGCTCCTTCATTCCTAATCCAACATACTTGCGCAAGTGTTCCTTCCAGCTGTCGGGCCTATAGTCCTTGGCGGTCTCGATAGCCGTCTTCAGAGTGGACAGGGAAGCCATAGCCTCCTTGACTTTCTCGGTCTCCAGCTCCGCGATCAACCTCAAGGCGTCACACTCCCGAACTTCCCGACATGTACTCCTCGTGAAGACCTGTATGGAAGGCCTTGTGGGGCGATATAGCCGACAACCTTTGTGGTTCCACACGAACTCGTACCCAAGGGTCTTTACGAGACTACCCAATGGGACTATCGGCTGAGTCTCTGACGACTCGTTGGTCTCCCGCAAGCACCACACTTGTCTGCTTAGCTTCCTCCAATTCCTTAGATGACCTCGCTGCCCTCAATGGGTGGGCTGCCCCACTATCGATAAGTCCATACTTGCCGATGACGTCTCCGAGCGGATCTTGAATTGAGGACAGCCCGGCTGGTTCAAGAAGGTGCAGCGCCCTTATCGTGGGGGACTTGTGGTCTATGAACGCCTTCATCATCCTTTGGGCCTCTACCAACAGCTGATCTACCTGGGAGCTCTGACTTTGGGCCTCCGCTGTCACAGTCGTAGAAGGAGTAGAGGCGGTGGTCGTTGCCTTGTTGGTCTTGGTCTTCAGCTC